GCTACTGCTACTGTTACTGCTACTCCGAGACTACTCCTACTGCTACTGCTACTGCTACTGCTACTGCTACTGCTACTGCTGCTACTACTACTGCTACAGCTCCTGCTGCTCTGGCTGCTGCTGCTGCTGCAAGTGAGGGTCATAAGGTTCTCAAGACATCAGGCCGTTTATGATCGTGCATCTTTCGGCGCGTGACTCTGACACCGGCTCTTGATACGGTACTCGCCATCGCTATAGTTTATAGTCTATGCAGGGGCCTGCATCGTGATGCTGGGCCCAACATGCACTCACGAAACGCACAGATCAAAATGCCACGAACATGCCTACTTGGTACTCACAGAAACACCGGCAGGAGATCACCGCTTGGCCTTCGCTTGGTATGTGCTGTGGTCTGTCCGCCCAGCACACGCGACAAAGCCCTGAACCTGTGACCAGGCACTTGGAGTTTTGCTTCTAGGGGCTTGGCTGCAAGACTCTACATGTCAGCTTTTGCTTCGACTGGAGCTGTTGCAACGATGCACCCGAGACGGCATCTTCAATACATGAGCTGCAATGATTCTGGCAGACGAAGCTTGATACGTTCTGCGACATCAAGTAATTTTTAGAGGCCACCCATGACCAGAAGAGCAGACACGCGTGTCAAGTTCATCCCGGGCGCACCCGGATGGGATTTGCTCTGTGCCGAGGCACAAAGCCCTGACGCCGGCGCGGAATTTCACAGCACTGCATGGGCTTATGAACAGAGTGCAGTCTCGGTGGCTCCTTCGAGTGGGAGATCGCTTAGCATCCAAGAAGCGGTAGTCTTGACTGAGCCTACTGACAGGAGGCATGGAAGGCCATGAATCCGTTGAAACGCCGCAAACCAGCAACTGCAGAACCTCACACTTCCAGAGCAGCCCTTGCATGTCATGCTCGTGCCTCAACATTTCGCGAAGTACGGACGGCAACCAGAGCCTTGCTGGGTTGATGTAAGTGCGGCTTCACAAGCAGGGCAGCTTGACACGGTTCCGCCGTGGGAGGACTAGTGACGCAGTAAAATTCGGGAAATCAAGTTCGGGTCAAGAAGGCACTTTGCGGGGGTTTTCTGACCTGTTTGGCCATTAGCATTCCCTAGCCCAGGGTTGTAGGCAGGGCACGAGGCCGACTAGGTGGACCAAGGCTCGGATAGGCGGGTTCTGGTTATTGCTGCCGCCCTCTTCATGCGCACTTTCGGCATTTCCAGGGTTTTCGGACTTCAGGCTTCGGAAGTCAGAGCTTTTGCAGTTTTGGGGAAGGGGTGGGTGGGGGGTAGAATTTCGTCACTTGTCACCGTCATGCCCAAATCTTAAGCATACGTCATGCGGTTGCTAATTACGTCTGTTCTGCTGAAGAGCACCTCGCTGCTACAACTGTACTCTTGTCTAAGTCTCCAGCTAAGGTTTAGGCCTGCGCCTGGTATGATCTCAGGTTTTGACTTGAAGTGTTGTGTTCCAGGAATCTCGGACTAAGCTTCTTCAACTTGCGGGTGTGGGATTTATGCACTGAACCTTTTGTGGTAGAACTTAGGATGTTAGGATGGGTGTTGGGGCCTAGCAGAGAAAATGCGAATACGGAGTGCGCATAAATCGTATGAAGCAGTCAGGCACGCCAACAAAACGGAAACCAACAACAAAGGCAACGGAACGAACAACAATTACAAAACACACATGTCAAACTCACGCAATGCGTGCAACGTGTTTCGGCCAAAACTTCTTCAGTAAAAAGCTCAGCCTACAACATAGATGTTCACCCTCCGATTGCTCCAGCTGAGTACCTGCCCGCGTGCTTGTTCCACGCTCTGAAAAACAAACGAAAACACTAAATTCCTCGTTTTTTAAGGCCCTTCGCAAATACACGACATCGTCACGTACTCCAGGGCCTCCGTGTCCTGGGGTCAAATTCCTCGAGTTTGTAGCTCTTCCCGACAAACCCCGGGCGATGAACAGTACGAACAAAAACTGAATATGCTAGCGTCTATATGGCTTGAAAACACTAACCCGGCAGAGACCACTTTTCTAGTTTTAACGCGCTTTGGAGCAAAATCGCCGACTTTTCACACCCAGGCAACTCAATGATGTTGTGTTATTTGCAAGACACAAAACAACACCCTTTTGTCTGCTACAGTGGGCGAAGGAACAAGGCGTCGGAGCGTTATAGCTTGAGTGTCTGCGCTGATCTATCTACCTGTCTCGCTTCCTCTCGCAGCTGTTCTTTTCCTCTCTCCCTCTGGCTCTCTCTCTCTCTCTCTCTCGCTCGCTCGCTCACTCACTCTCTCTCTCTCTCTGTCTCTCTCACGCTCTCCCGTTTTCCAGCTGCCTATTAGCGCTCTTGACTATAGGGACTGCTCGTTTATCTTTTGCTTCCTCGCACGGATATAAACCAGAGCAATGGCACCTGCAAGAGTCTCGGCCAGAAATATGTTGAACAAAACAGCAGCAATGGGAATCGATAATCAAGCAAAGCTGCAGACACCCACAGGAAGTTATCACGGGTATAGGAGTGCGCTCACAGCCCCAGCGCAAGTTCTTAGTCCTTGGGCTGCCTTTTTCAGCAATCATGCGACAGTCATCCTTTCTGTCCCTGCCCTCCCTGCCCCAGTTCTACTTACGTACATAGGCAAGCCCAATGCTTAACACCCCTCACTAAATCCCAAAAAACTGAGGAGCTTGCCGCAGCGCATGTTGCAAGTGCGCCACGACGCAGGCGGAAAGTGGACGCCATGGAACACACCCTACGGCCCTATCCAATCTGCAACTGAACCCACACCATCGCATGTGCTACATGCGCCGCCGGGAAACCCCAATGCGTAGACCAGTAGTTGCCTCAACAGTCCGTATGGAAGGCGGAGTCTTTTAAACTTCGCTTTGAATGTATCATGCTGGAGCTCCACGGCGTGTCCAAATATCAAGAAGGGTATCTGCATGTGCTGCTCGAAGGCTTTGTTGAGCCAGGAACCCAGAGGCTGGCAGTGTTCATTCTTGGGGCTACTTGTGTTCAACCCCCGGAGCCTGAAATACATTGCCGTCTCTGTTCTCCCTCCTTCTACATTCCTAGCCATGAGGTGCCCCCCACGTTCAAAGATTGACCGCCAGAGGTTGCAAGGTTCAGGCAGTGTCAGTCACTCAGACATCGACGCCTGGGCGGGACAGTACGGCTTCAAAGTCTACAGACAATCAAGACACCTTGCTCCGAACTCAGTCGTTCCAGCATTTTTGGAGGCATGCAGCCCAACCTCACCCACAGGATTTTGCAGAACCTGCTGAACTTTCCATAACAGCTAGGAACACCAAGTTCACCAACATTGCATCCTTCTCGGATGGTTGTTGCAATACTACTCCGCAAGGTTACCGATTACAGTGATTCTCAGGGTGGCCGCGGGCGCTGGTACTGGGACTGTTGCAACTGCTTCTAGCCCTCTGGCCAAACACTGCCTCGATTCTAGCGGTTCTGACTGAATCTTAGTTACTATATAGTCCCTTTATGCTCAACAGGTAGTATTCACAGGTATCAGTATTCTCTCTAATATGTGAATTTCTACTCCCGAATACGTAGTCATACATACATCCATCCATCCATCCATCCATACATACAGGCAGACAGACACACACACACACACACGTACTTACCTACGAATGCACATACATGCATACATACGCATATACATACATACGTACATACGTACGTACGTATATACATACATACATACATACATACATACATACATACATACATACATACATACATATTGCATACGGAGTCATTTTCAAATCCTGTATTTAACTGCACTGATGCCCTATGGCCCTATGGTACTGTAGCAGCAAGCTCTGAGGCGATGGCGTAGGCCGCGTTGCCCGGCATGAGCTTTGAGCCAAAGCCAGGGCATGTCCGGCATGTGCAATTTTAGCATCCGGGACAATCACTTTGGGCTCGGGCTGCACGGATAGTCGTGGAGCAGAGATTCCAGGAAAAAGAGACGGAGCGCGAGAGACAGAGAGAGAGAGAGAGAGCCAGAGAGGAAGAGGTCATGGTCACAAAAACAACGAAGGAGGCATGAGCCTAGCAAGGGAATGCTATAACTACATGGACTATGTGGTCGGTTCGAAGCAACAAGAGAGCATGAGGGACCCATCTTGGCTCTTAGGAGATGCTCTACGTCACTTCCTTGACCGCTGCAATCGCGCAATTTGTCAAAGGCGCTGAATGAGTCAGAAGCCACCACAAGCTATCAACAGCTCCGGGGTATGCTTCTGACTCCACTAAGCCTGCAAAGGTAGCCAGAATCTTGCAAACCGCAATCACGCACTGCTGCAGTGAGCCATTAGCCATAGAACGACTGCTGCTTTCAATTGCCCCATCAGGCTTTGGAGCGGCGGGCGGCGGCATGGACAAAGCATTGCCAAGAACTGACTCAAGCTACCTTCTAGCGTCCTACACGGACACTGATCGCACAGTATCACGGAAATTTATGTTGCAACGCGGCCAAATGATTGAAAGGCCACAGAAGGAGTTCCCTCCTGGGGGGGATGCCCAGACCTTTTACCGGGTCATACTGGGTCTTCTTCCCCACGCGAGCACCAGCCTGGAGCCTTTGTTCAGAACGAGCTGCCTATCCATATCCTTCTTTTTGCGAAGTCTGTTAGATGCTGACGTCTCTCGAAGGCCAGAAGCCGCAAGGCTCCGGCAGTGGCTGGTTGCTGGGTCGCAAGTGATCAAGCGATGCAACATTGGTGGCCGCCTCATGACACCCGAGCAAGAATACATGCCCCCTCTGCCCTCACCATTGAACCCAGTGAAGTTGCCACCTCTAAGCGTCAGATCTAGTCACCTAGTCATCGTCAGCAGCGGCCGTCACATCGGCTGTTAGCGTGTTCACGGCGTCATCAGCCTGACTCGAGTTTTGCTGCACCCGGCTTGAACCCATCAGCTGAAAGTAAGCGCATATCTTGTCTAGGCAAGCATGGCAGCATGCTGCCCTGCAGATTTCTGTTTGTTTACCTTTACACCGATGGGCTCGTGTTATAGACCGTGCGTGATCAAGCCCGGATGCACATGCATCAAACCAGTTGGAGGCCGGGGCTCGGCCACTTCTACATCCCTCATAGTGCACATAGCGCATCTTATGTCCTGACGCAGAACCTCGAAATCCTGAATAATCCCTCGTCGCCTCAGGGCGGACCATTTCGACACCCATGTCATCCCCACCATCTCCATGCAGCTCCATAAGCCTCAGCCACCAATGAAGTCGAGCTCTGCAGGTTTCTGGTGAGGAATCAGGGGTCTACGCTTGAGCCGTTTTTGGCGTCGACAGCTGTCAGTAAGTATGTTTGTGACTGTCATGCGCGACTGTTGACTTGTACTGGAGAAACCACCTCGTGATGTCGCGAGCTCCACGTTCCCACGAATTCGGCAGACAAGGGGCTTGGTAATGTCAAACTTGGGCTTCTTCAGGATCTTGACCTGCTGGTGGCCGGAGCATGTTTGCTGATGGACCCTTCGCTCACGCATCCTCCCGATAAAGAAAACCTGGCCGCGGCGGATTTGCCTGACAATGTCACACGGGACTAAGGAGGGATGACTACCAAGATGTGTTAGAAGTGTTTCCTTCTGATTCTGTAGTCTTAGGCGAACCGTCTGCGAGACTCTGCAAGCCTCACGTCTTGGGGAAACTGCATCCGGTGCAGGCTCCGATGTCCTATAAGCTTAAGCTTCATCGTCCGCAACCCAAACCTTCCCGCAAAAGGTTTCAAACCGGCGAGGCCTTGCGGATCAAGCAGTCCTTCGCGAAGCTTAGGCTTTGTGCTACTTCCACAAGCGTTGCAGGAGTTATCGTGTGCTTCCCTTACACTACAGTACCTATTGCAAATCTACGCTCTGTGGTTGCGAGACTCGGAGGAAAAAGAAACGAGCGTGAAGGGCTCTTCTTTGCGGGACGTCGGTAATCTCTCTTTTTCAGACTATGCAACTCCGGCCGCACATGATCGGAATGGGTTGCAAGGCTTTGCAAAGTCAACGGCCGCGGCTCCTTGAGTGGAAAAATGGCCTGGCACTTCTTCTCGATGTCTTTACCGATGGACTCGGGGATCAGCTTCCGGACCTTCACCGGGGCCGTGGATAGGCTGTTGGGGGAGGCGTTGGGGCTTCGGCTTCAATAACGATCGACTCGTGGCCTTAGAAAGATGCTGAACAAGCACAAGAATGATGACAATGATGATGCAGACGACTTTGTCGTGCTGGTTTCTGTCTACCTTTCGAGCATTATTCTTCACATGCTATGGTTTAGTGTCTACGCCGAGATTCGTCTACGCCACAACTGTACCACGTGCGACGATGACTAGTTCAGCTTCATAGATTTGCTGCTTCTAGTCTGCAATGTTATCAGAAAGTATTCCTCGCGATGCTGTTCCCACCATCTTCATCACCATTACGATTGCTATTCATCTGGTTCTGTTTATATACACAAATCAATCTCCTCCACGTGCTACTACTACTACTACTACTCCTACTGCTACTACTACTACTACTACTACTACTACTACTACCACTACTACTCCTACTGCTACTACTACTACTACTACTACTACCACTACCACTACTACTACTACTACTACTACTACCACTACTACTCCTACTGCTACTGCTACTGCTACTGCTACTACTACTACTACTACTA